AAGCACGCAAGTCTTAAAGCTGTCAAGTTACAAGACCCTTGCACCCCTAACCCTTTAGAAAAAAAACCCCAGGGGTGTTCAAACTTGTAAGCTTTAAGACTTGTGGACTTCAACTCCCAGAATTCCTCCTCTCGCTCTTCATGTTGATGATGTGCAGACGGGTAGAGGGAGGGAGCTGGAACTAGTTCTAAACGGCATTGTAGATTTGTGGAACCTCTTCTATAGAAGAGGTTAGAACTGGCAGGAACCCACCCCTGGTTGAGACCAATTTTGGAATAGTGGTGAAAGACACCAGGCTAGAACCTGGGAAACCATGAATTCTAGTCCTGACTAATGCACAAAATTCACAACCAGGTGACTCAATTTCCCTCAACTCTAGGAAGAAGGCAATGGGCAAATCACTTTCAAAAATCAAGAAAAACTGCATAGACTTGTCAAAGCAATGACCACTAATGACCGCTAATAAACAAGTATAGTTATTATTCTTCCACATTGTCCAATGCATTTTATGCAAATGACAATCTTTCAGTTTGCAAAAGCCAACAATTGTTTGGTTCTTTATATTATTTTGAACACTTTATATTATTTTGAACACTAACAAAGGCATTTACTTTTAAGGAGGTAGTCACACATTTTATATTCAGTTTTATGTTTTAAAAATTTTAAGGTTTGGTTATATATCAATATGACTGTCTAGAGAACATACCTTAGTAAATCTTTTTTTTTTCATTAACAAAATTATAACACAATTAAATCCAAGCAATGCTTATAAAATGTTGCAAGTGTATTTATAGTACATTTCCCATAGTTATGTATGTAGAGTTATATTATATTAATTGTAGGAGTTGGTAGATATTCTTAGATATTCTTCTAGATTAAAGATGTTGAGAGAGGAATGTTCTAGCATGTACCTATATGTAATAAGGCACAGTAGAAATTAAATTCATGAATACATGGAAGTATTAATTCATTGTTTTCCAAATCAGTGGAAGAGTTATCCTGTTTTCCTTTCTATTAATTAGTCTTAGGTTTCCAGGTAGATGTTGAAAGTTCTTATACTCATTTATTATGCCTTTACTATGTATGCTTGGTGGTAACAAATAAACATGGTGTTTCTAACAATAGTCAAAGCTAGAGATAGCAAAGCCAGTTTTTTTCCTATTTTCAAGCAAATCACTTTAGACAATGTTTGATGGTGCTTCTTAGCATGGGTATTCACTGTTATTGGAAAATATGTTTTTGTCACATATTTTGGGGTTTCAAGAATCCCGTTTGACTTAAGTAGCCTGCTAAATCAAGGGTTAATTTCAAAGCAATCATAATTGTCACTGGTCATTAAGCGTTTTTTGGTGGATCAGATGAGGAGCCTGTTTATGACTAACAGCCTCCTGTAATAAATGGAAAACATTGGTTATAAAATTATTTAGACTAGTTTTGGTATATGAATGTAAAAATACATTTTTTTCATCTTTAGCTATTTAAAATTTAATTTTCAATTTTGTTTTTTAAATAAATTTTGGCATATATGTATATGCTCATTTTCACTAGACTAGACATACCCAGGAATTGGGTTTGACTGGTCTCGTGAAAAGAAGAACTGGGGTGACATGATAGCAGTGTTCCAATATTTGAGGGGTTGCCACAAAGAAGAGAGAGTCAAGCTATTCTCCAAACCAGCAGAAGGCAAGACAAGAAGCAATGGATGGAAACTAATCAAGGAGAAGCAACCTAGATCTAAGGATAAATTTCCTGACAGTTAAAACAATTATCAGTGGAACAACTTGCCTCCAGAAATTATGGGTGGTCCAACAGTATGTTTTTAAGAAGAGATTGGACAGCCATTGGTTTGAAATGGTATATAGTCTCCTGCTTGAACAGGGGGTTGGACTAGAAGACCTCCAAAGTCCCTTTCAACTCTGTTGTGCTATTATTCATAATGAGAAAGAAAAATAGGATTATTGTGTATTTTTTCACACACACACAAACACCATTAAAGTCATTATGGCTGAAATCAGATTTCCTAAAATAAAATCTAATTAGCTAGTAATCTGTAGCCTGCTATGTAAATTCACAGCACCAGAGATGAATGAATACAAAGAAATATAGGTTAAAGCAAAATGAGACTCATTTCCCTCTTAAAAACCTCATGTTCCCATTCATGTTGTTTAGAGGTTTATTTTCCCAGGTTTTGATTCTCTTCCTATTACCAACATGGAAGGATCAGAGGTTTTTTTTCCTTTACCATTTTGTGCCTGAATGTCTTGGATTTGGATTTCTCCCAATTACTTCCCTATGTTTCTAATATAAATGTGATGGCAATAGTGAAGGCCAAATCTGGTTCTAGGCTTGTGCCTCAGTAAGCATATTTTTCCAATGAAATAGCTGAGACAGGAAGATCATTTTATTACGATTTATTCAGAATGTGCTGATAAAAAGGATTCCTCTCATTTAGAGGGGGAACCCTGAGATCCATCTTACATTCTCTTTTATAGTTAAGACATCAAAGAAAATCACAAAAGAAACATTGAGAAAGGCACACAGACACACACACAGACCTGCACCGCCTTTGCATAGGAAATCAGTTACATGGGGTTAAACATGTTACATTTAAATGAGCTGTAATGTAAGTAGGGGTATTAATAAGAATAGGTTCATAAAGAGACAGACCAGATGTCAATTAGCTTTCTACAGACATCCTATTAAAACTAACATAGTCCTATCCTATCCTAACCTGGAGAGCAAACAGTTTTTATCTTGCAATTTAGGAATGTTCCAGTAACAAAACAAAGACCTTTCCACATTTCCAGTTTGCCATGATTTAGTAAACCATTAACATCAAACCATTTAAGAGAGAAAAATCAATCCAAATTAAAATAGAAAATAACTGTTAGTTAGCAAATACCATACTACCATACAAAGTCCATGTTGGTACTACAAACTCCATGTTGTGTGGCTTTCAATATTCATGCATTTTAAGCAATAAACTTGATGACTTACTTGGGACTACTCCAATATTTTTGGGTAGGAATATGAAACATTATTCCAAGAAAGTGTGCTCTATTAGATTTTATATTTTAGCTCAAATGGGACATTCAGTTAATTTAGCAGTAACTATTATGTACATTATTTAAATAATGGATCTTATTTCTACAAAAGTTAAACTATTAATGTTTTTAGCTTTAGGATACATATGCAGAGAAATAAATTAGATTTATTTTTCCATGTATGTATCCAGACCTTAATTTTAAGCAAATTGAAGAATAGCTTGTAGGCTGATAAATTATTGAAATATCATGGTTGTCTTTTTCCTTCTGTTCAGTCAAGTTGATACTTCAAGCTGAAGAGAGAGGCGTGGTGTCAATCAAAGGTATACGTGCAAACCGTTTCCTTGCTATGAATGAAGATGGACGATTGTTAGCACTGGTAAGCGTTTGTCAATTCCTTCCAATTTTTTTCCTTCTCATAATTAAGGCTTTAAGATAGCAGCTTTAATATAAATATTATTATTAATATAATATTAATATATATTTATATAAATTTAATATACATTTAAATATTTAAATTTAAATTTCATGGGTATTGCAGAATGCTTTCTAAAAATGACAAATTTTTGAAGAACTTGTGGGTTAACATAGTCTCCACTTTTGAAGTTCTTATCAACAGCATTTCTTCTGGTCTTCAACATGCTAGTTTTCACTCTAATGGAGTCATGTTTGTCTGCTTTTTGGATAAACTGATGAGAAAATTAAGTTTAACTTTAAAGGATATTCTATAGGACTCCGTAGCACTTCAGATTTGAAGGCACACATGGTGCCTGTTTGGAACTCTTTAAACCGAAAACATATTTTCCTGATCATGCAACTGCGATGTAAACCTGGGGAAAGGACTTTAGGGTTCAGGCCATGCACTCCAAAGCAACATTTTAGTTTTGATCTGAAGTGCTGCAAGTTCAACTATTCCATGTGATTTATTTATACATTATCTCAAAATAGGGTAGCAGAAGGTCCTTCTTGTGGTTCTCATTGCCCTCAAAATGATACTGCTGATTTTTAGTGGCAAATTACTGAAGATGTTTCCTAACTTTTTTGGTATAAAAACATACAATAATGGTCCATAAATATTTTGTTTATATTTGAAATTTTCCACATGGCAGCTCCTTTCACTTCAGTTACTTTACTATTGTTTGTTCTTTAGTAACTCTACCTGTTTTATATTATCAATTAAATGGTTAATAATCCATTAATCAAAATTTGGAATAATTTTGTTTAAATTCATAAAATGTCAATTGTCCTTACATTTTAGGTCAGGTTAAATGCTAGTCACTTATATTCTAAAAGTTAAAACAGGATTTTAATGTGACTGACAGCACTATGCAATACCCTGGTATTCAGAAAAGTATTAATTCAAAATAATTATTTGCAGCTATAGATTTTTCAGTTCATTACTATACTCCTACTAAAATTTCATAAGCATAAGGATGTTAATCTTTCACATGGAAATAAGAAAACTAATTTGTAGAAAGCAGTTACTTTAGACTTAAGTAGAATTTATATGTTTGTGTGTAAAGATGGGTAAATGAGGAAATCTGCAGTTAAAATATTATGATTTGATTTAAACTCAATATAGATTTGATTATATCTTTTATATCAAATGATTTACATCATTTTGGTAAATAGTTAATCAGCCAGAAGAACATATATGATAAATCATTTTATTTTTTCACAAAGGCTATGAATAATACCTTCCTCTTTTTCCCCCCCAGAAATATATAACCGATGAATGCTTCTTTTTTGAACGCTTGGAATCTAATAACTATAACACATATCGGTCACGTAAATATTGTGATTGGTACATTGCACTGAAACGAACTGGTCAGTACAAACTTGGACCAAAAACTGGACGAGGACAGAAAGCTATTCTTTTCCTTCCAATGTCTGCCAAAAGTTGATTTGAGTGTCGCAGTTAATAAAATATTGTGCAACAACAACAGTAGATGTTCCCTCCTCCACAAGACAAATTAATGTGATATTTTCCAGTCAGCTCTGTTTGATGATTAATTTGAGATCAATACTGTGTAGAACTGTAAGAGTGAAAACCATTTTCATTCACCGTTTATATAAGGCTGTTTGTGTATGCGTACTAACATGAGTGTGGCATGGAGACATAGTTCCACTTAAATATGCCAGTTAATTAAGTACTTCCAGTTAGATTTTATAATCATTTTAATCTTATGGTTTAGGAATAGACATTCTGATTTAGGTTATTGAATGTGAAAAAAGTTTTAAAAAATGCATACTCTATAGAGTCTTTATTATTTAAGAGTAATATCTTTTTAAAGGGCATAAACATAAATACTGATTTTAATTTGGAACAAAACACACAAACACAGACTTTGGTTTCAAATAATCTTAAATGAAAAATAAGATTAATTTTACTCCATATCTGTTACATTTCTATAATTTTCTGGCAGCTTTCTGTGGTATAACTTATAGAAAAGACCTGTATACACAGCTGGAAATTCTCTCATAGATATATCAATTTGATCAAACCCTTCCCGATATCCATAGAGAAGTAATCTAGCTATATTGCTAGTGATTGGAGTAGTTTCTTTTGTCTTGGAAAGCTCTGTTAGGTCCATCCATTCACATCTTAAGCACTCCTGCTGGCAGAAATTAATATGGAAAGACGAAGGATCCAAACGGCAGATTATGTACATATCTGATTTCCCAAAGGCTCCAGGTTGCCCATGCTGCTGTCGTATGCTTAGAATAGACTTGAATTCAGATGTTATACCTGTCTCTTCAAAAACTTCTCGAACTGCTGTGTTCCCTAAGAGGAAGAATGAATGAACTTACATATGAATTTTAACCAGAAATTATAATTTTAGGAGCTTGTAAAGTATTAGATAAGTCCCTCATGCAAACAATCGTTATAGAGACTTCAATTGCTCTAGAACAAGGGTCCCAACCCCTGGTCTATGGATTGGCACCAGTCCATGGCATGCCAGCAACCAGGCCGAGCAAACAAGCAAAGCCCCATCCATGGTTTGCAGGCAGCATACAAAACCACACCTTTTCCAGTCTGTGGAAAAACTATGGAACCAATCCCTGGTGCCCGAAAGATTGGGGACAACTGCTGTAGAAAGTAGGGAAGATAATCTTGGCAGAAATACGCAGAAGCCATTGTCTCCTACTATTATAGCCACCCTCAATAAAAGTAGTTTTAGACTTCTTGTAGAATTTCCTGGTCTGGTCCACCTAATGAAGTTGCTATCAATCTTACAAGTCCAATTATGATATAACCCCTTCATGCTAATTCAATCAATTAGGGAAGTGTTTGTCTGAGCCACTTCCAAATGTTATCTCAATTTTCTGGTCTTAAATGCTTCAGCCTCTTTTCTCTAAGCAACAGTTCTTTCTTATCTCTGCCACGGTCATCTTCCTTACTCTCTGCAATTAGTTATATTCAAAAATAATTATTGACGTCACTTTAAGAAAGATATATATCTGAAATTTGAGAGGTTCTAGTAGAAAACAGTTGGTCAAAGTTAATGCATTTTAAAAGAAATGCAACATTATATTGTTTAATTACTTATTAATGTATGTAACAAGCATAACTTACTGATTTTAAATTTTTAGTTTCAGAGCAATGTGATTACTCTGCTCTTAAAGATACCTTTAATTGATCAGATTAATTGTCTGTTCCTTGCCCTCCCAAGATTTGTTCTAAAGGACTGAGACACCCTCTAGAACAAATTTTGGAGGCTACATGGAACAGGAGAGCAAAAAATCTCAATTTTGTGATTTTCGGTTTGAAACCACTACATTTCAATTTAGGATACATTCTTGAGGGGAATAAGCAGTACTAGCTACAACACAGCATCTATCCAAATATTAAGAGCCATAGCAAAAATTGTATATCCAGAAATATATAACTTGGGAGCAACTAAACACTGCCATTAAACTAATAAATTTGGGTTTGTGTATATGTTTGCTGCAAATTTGCAGTAGCTCTGAAACATTTACCAAAGTGGTGACATAAAAATTTACAAAACAAAAGAACAGAAAATTAATTATGATTCAGTTTCCTGAATAGGGGTAATCTTTGACTTACAATAATTCATTTATTGACCTTTCAAGGTTACAACGGCAACTGAAAAAAAGGATTTATGATCAATTTTCACACTTATGACCGTCCCATGGTCATGTGATGAAGCATTTCAGATGCTTCAGATGAAGGTTGCCGTGTCCTGGGTTCATGTGATCACCTTTTGCGATCTTCTGCCAGGCAGTCAATGAGGAAGCCAGATTCACTTAACAACCGTGTTACTAAATAACTGCAGTGAAGAAATAAGGCAAGAAAGTTCTTAAATGGGGCAAAACTCACTTAACAAATGTCTCATTAGCAATAGAAATGTTGGGCTCAATTGTGATTTGCAATACTACCAGTATGGCCATCCTCCCCTCCAAATTAGCTGGGAATTTATGATCTCAAACATTTATATTCAAAGCTTTAAAGTTCCTAATGAAAAGCAGTGTCCTAAGTACTTTGAGGATACCTTTCAGCAGCTATTTAATTTAAAACCTCAGATTAGTTTCCCCAACCTGCCTTTGTATGTGGAATAAAGGTGATACATGCAGACATCATTATCTTATTGACAAAGCATGATTTTCTCTATTCATGTGTGCCATTACTCCCATTTTTGAGGTAGCAAAATTAGCAACCATTTCAATAAGACAGTGGTTATGGGTGCTATTCTAACCCATAAAAAGGCTTCTAAAAGGCTGAATAATAAGCCATTCTGCATTGCGTTAGACCATCTTTAACCAAAACATCTTTTTACCATTCAAGTAATAACAGATATCTCTATAATTTAACTGGTAACAGTGACATTAAATATGAGATAGCTTATATAAATTAAGAAAATGTTTGTATTAAATAATAACAATACCAGCTATTTTGATTCAGTATATATTACCTCATTAACTTGGTTACAACTAAAAGTCCTGAATCTCCATAAGAAAATTTCAACTAAATTTTGACTACTTTGAAGTGCTTATACATCCTTTTTGAAGAGAGCTATTGAGGTATCACAAATCACAACTAAGTTCTCAAATCTGCAAGTTTTGGCACCAATTTATAACTGATGTAATAATTTCTATAGCTAAATACTTACCAATGTCTTCACCTGGTTCAGACAAGCCTCCTGGAAATTTCCATGCATTTCTTGTCTTAAAAGAAATAAAAAGAACTCATTAGTTCAGGGGTCCTGATCTGTGGACCACTACCAGGCCTCGGCATGCCAGAAACCGGGCCATGCAAACAAGCAAAGCCCCATCCGCAGGATGCACCAGGCAGCACATAAAGCCACACCACTTCTGGTCCACGGAAAAACCTTTCACCAGGGGATCAGACACTGATGTCCAAAAGGTTGGGGGCTACAGCATTAGCTATTTTCTTTTCTTTTTGTCCTTTCTGCGAGGAAGAACTAGAGTTGACTAGTCTCTATTTACAAACTTACTTTTTCAGATGTGATAGAGATAAATGTCTATATAATATATTGCAAGAAAACATCTACTGATTCATCTAGTGATTGTCAATTTTGCTGCTCATTAACTATCCAAATAATAATATAATATTAAAGAAGTTATTTAGTACTTTGTGGCCAGTGTTTAGAACAGCGCTTTGAATTTGCAAATATAATTAGATATGTATTAGATGGGAGCCCAAGTAATCTAACTTTAAACACATATATTCTATTTCAGTGTTTCCTTTTTGAAAGCAAAATCCATTCCTTTTCTAAATAAATATGTATTGATCTAATACTGTTCTATTCAGCAGTGGATATAAAGTTTTGTTTTGTGTCTGTTATAATTAAGAAGTGCAGTGTATTACTTTTTTGTTATGCATTGAAAAATAAACCAGATTCTTGTGTATCATGATTTCTTATTCTATAATTCAGATTTTTATTAAATGGAGATATCTGTCTGCTGTAATTGTTCGTATAAGCCATTTTCCAAATAAACAATGTTTTATAACATGTCATGGGTCTAAAGGTGGGAGGCAGCTGTATCTGTTATTGAGCCTTTCTTTAAAAAGTAACCTAAAACCAATCAGGATGAATCCCAGTTTGTTTAGCTAAGGTACACTTGGACCCCTTATCAAACTTTTCTTTTCAGCCCAAAACAACAACAACAACAACAACAACAACAAGAAAAGATCACTCTGCCTAAAATACAGAAATATATACCTATTGTTTTTTTTAAATCCCAAAAGAGAAGATATGTGCTCTAATTATGCAGTCTTAATGTTTATTTTTAAAAAAATTGGAGCGAGTAGACAAAACCAAAAAACAATTATTACAAAACATTCTGAATAAAATCTCTAATTAGCAATATGCATTCTACCTGCTTAATCATGATCCTCCTGCCTTTTAGAACATATAGAAGATTCATTTCAAATATGATATCTTGACAGAATGTTCTTATTCCTTTATTTTGATGCTTCCGGATAGAGTATTCTGTTTAGTTTTGAAGTAACAGTTTCCCAATTTTATAGAAAATACAGGCACTTAAGGCCAGCCCCTTAGGGGAGTTGACTATTGTTTTATCCAGTCAAGTGATATGCTCCATCTCTGACATCAGCTGACAAATCAGAAAGTATTTAGCCATCAAACCTCTTTCTATATACACCCAATTGAATGGGGAAAGATTCGTCCTAACTGGTTAAAATGTGGAGTAAAAAGAGAGACCTGAAACATCAAGAAGTAGAAAATAATGATGAATAGGAGTAATTCTTGATTCACAACTGGTCACTAAGCAACCATTTGAAATTACAATGGACCTATCCAGGGGAATCACTTACAACCTGATTCAAAATTCTTACAGTTGCCCCCCCCCCCCCAAAAAAAAAAAAAAAAAGATTGCACTTTGGGTGCTTGGAATTTATGGTCATTTGCAGTGTCCCATGTTTTACATTGGTTTTGACAAAATGGCACCTAGCGAACCATTGGGTTTGGTTTTTCCAGTGATCACTAGAAAAAAGGTCACCAAAAATGGCTGATCTACTTTACAACTATCATAACTTTGACTGTAAGAGGCAGGTTCTATTAACTTGTAACTTGAGGACAACCTATGCAGGAATATTCCCTTTCTAGAATCTAGTGAAATTATCAGATACTTTCTAGCAGGGTTTTATAAGCTGTTCTGGGCAAACTTAGGGTTCTGCAAAAATTGAATGGGGTTCCATTAATGGGGGAGACTAAGGCCAAAACAATAACAACTTCATTAAAACACACCAAGTTCTGTGCCACTACAGTTTGTCTCTTAATCTGGAATTCTGAGATTTTTTTCTTTTTCTGAGGTTCTACAGCCTGAAAAAAGTTTTAAATCCTCTACATATAGAGGTCCCTACCAGAGATGGGTTCCTACCAGTTCGCACCTATTCGATAGAACCGGTTTGTCAAATCTACCAAACCGGTTAGAAGAGGTTCCACCAGTGGACCCGAAAAGCAGGCCACACCTACAGAAGAGGTTTCAAAAATTTTTGAAACCCACCACTGGTCCCTACATATAGTATATATAAAAAGATCTCTTAGAATGGGGTTAACCAAGAAAAAAAAATCAACTTCGACATTTTTTCACCTGCAAAGGGAGAAAAATCACTAGGTTACTTTATTTTTAAGGTGATTCTACAAGGATTCTGGGCATCTTACAAAAAAAATATCAAATACCGTATGTAACAAAAAACCAGTTTAAAACATAACAAAGCTGCCCAGAGAAGAAAGCAACAATAATATTAACCAAACATGACAGTGGTTCCATCAGAACCCTAACCCCAGCCCTGGAACAGAGCCAGATCTTAAGGGACTTCCAGAACAGACTTCCTGTACCTCCGGTGGGGGGGAGGGGAGGAATGCTATTCTAGGACAGAAAGAACAAATTTCTTAAGCTTCCAATTCACTGTGCAGGTGGATGTCCTTACTCTAATCTCTGTTCAACTTGCCCTTCTAAAAACAGTAGCTATTCATGTGTATTAGAACAATATCACTATCATTGTTGATATCAAGTAGGTCAACCTCCCAATCAGATATGTTGAATTATACAGTATCTCAGAATTCCCAGGTAGGTGAGCTTCCATTTGGCAAAGTTAATTCAATCTAACTGGAAAACTCCAGATGAAGCAAGGTTATTTTTGGCAAGTTAATTGGTCAGTATTGTAGTCATCCCTACCATGAAATAAACAAGTATGTGTTTGTGGAAAAGGGCACATTCTGGCTTGTGGAAAACAATGCTGATTTCCTACAAGAGATATCCTGTTCTATCAGAAAGAACAATGAAAACTGTATTCAAGTGACAGCACTAGGTAAATACCAGTTTGGCTCCTTCTTCACAAAATATTAATGAGTTCTTGACTACTGCATTTTAAAAACCATCTGACAAAATAAATATTTTGTTTCATAAGATTGAAAAAGACTTTATTTTCAGCCTGGAAACTGTTCTGTATTTTAATTGGCTTTTAACCATGATGACATCACATAAGCAGCTCTTGAAAAAAATTGACAAAGTACAGGTCACTATTATGCAAATACAAGCTAAATTTGAATTTTCACTAGGCCACATCCTTGGATGGCTGTAATATTTCAAAACACATACAAAAGAGAGACACACACTCGCATACATACAGACAGCATTCAGAAATACATTTCTAAAGCTAAAAAAATATTTAGCAAATTTCAAGTGAATTTTAAAGACAGTAAACGTAATCTTTAGAAAGTATGATGTTCAATAAACATTTTTTCATTCAGAAATGTATCTTACAACATTTTAAGGAATAGACATTAATTTTATTTCTATTCAATTTTAAAAATAAAATAAAATGAGAAATTGAAAAAATAATTCAAGATTGGGGAAAATATTTAGTAAATGAATACTGCATGAATTCTCTGCAGAGACTTCTTCTGTTTGGTTCTTGGGCTATAGAATACACCAATTTATTAAAGTATAAACTTATAAAAATATAAACTGAATTTATATTTTTAAAGTTATGTAACCTTTATTTGACTTTTAATGCAGACAGAAGAGTGGATATAAATCTGACAAGTTACAAAAGCATGTAACATGACCACAATAAAAATACGAGAATGAATTAATACAGTTGCCATTATGCTTCAACGAAAGTAGCAGAAAGCATAATTGTTGCAGATTACCACAAACAAATTATTTCAATTATCCAATCAACTGGATTTGTTTCATCCATCTATTATTGTTCATCAAAGTAACTCCTGGAAACCATTACAAAGCACCCGTGGATCAGAACTATCTGATGCTGAGAACTCTTCTCTCCCGTGACTAGACCATTGCATTATCCATTTAAAAGCTTTCTTCTTCTGAAGTCACAATAGTGGAGACATTTGCCTTTGAGCTATTCGACTGGATTACAGTCCCAGAGTTCTAGTTTATAGAACTGGGTAATTACAAAATTCTGTTTCTAACATCTACTTCTTCTCCCAACCCATCTTTTGCAATATATCTAAAATTATTGTTAATAGTAGGACATAATCTTCAAGAGTCTTTTCAGCTTCTCCTATAGACCAAGATCAGATCATTTTGACTATTTTCAAGGTCAAATCATTTTGCTCCAACTTTACACCAGTCCCTAATTCCCATCAAAAGCTACTAAGCTTAGTAGCTAAACTTATGTCACCAATCAGTCCATGTGAAAAGGAAAGTACCATTTTGGCCTTCCTTTTGTAAAATAAATGAGGACATGGTATAATATGTCATGTATAGTTGTTCAGCTGAGATTGTATTTACCTACTTTTAAGAACCACTAAACTCCAGATGATTTTAATGTATGTCCTGATACATAAAACCATAGAATTAGAAGAGAATGTACTTTCTTTTTCACATGACTGTATAGCACTATCACAACTGGAGAATGTCAGTTTGGTGAGGCTATCACCTGTTTCCAAAAGAATGTTGTTGTTTTCAAATATTTCTGAATGTTGATTCTTGCAATTTTTCTGTTATAGTATAATTGACTTAGATTATTTTTAATGCTTGTTGCCTTCATATGTGCCTAGTAATACTCCGTTTTCAGTAATAATATTGTCCCTGCTGCATAATGCATCTTGGAAGGGCATTCTTTTTCTCACAGTGCCTTGGTTTTCTGGGCAAAAGTGGGCTTTGCACAAATATGTCAGTATTTCTTTATTGAGGGGGAGGGAATT